TTTCATTCTTCCTTCGTCTTTCCAATTTTTCACGGAAACGATACCTCAAACGGAAGAAACATTGCAAATTTCCTTGTCACGTTTGCGTATGGGATTGTCTGTTGCCAGCTGATTGCGACGTCGATTGCAGAACATCCTGCGTGAAGCTTGTTCTCCGCAGAAGGACTCGGAGAGCGGAAGTGTCTCTCTAAGGAACAACCTTCCACGGCGACGCGGCTCCTTCTACGAGAGAATAATTAAGAGTCGCGCGGCGAGCGCGACCAATCTCTTTAAACGTGAGACGAGAAAAAAGAACAGCGTGGATGGTTACTCCTTTGTGCACCGTTAACCGTTCATCCTTGAAACTGTAATAATAATGCCGACCGTTGTGTTCCTCCGGCGGATAGGAGGCGCGTCGCGCGGCCTCGAGGATAAGAAAATGCAAATTCGAACGGTTTCGGTTCATTACTTGATTCCAGCGCCCACGTGACGCAATATCTGGCATTCGTCAACCTGATAGTCATTATCGACGACGATACCTAGAAGTCCTTGTGTACTCTGGGGATTCCGCCGCGAGAATTTAAATAAGAACGGTACCTTCGCTATTTCGAAGAACTCTTGGACCTTGAGTTGTTCAATATTTTCTAATAGGTGACTAGGAGTTAACTGGATTAATAGCTAAGAGGAATGAGGTAGATTAGCAATGGTTCCTTTATAATCTTCAGAACACTCGTTCTGTTTAACGCTAAAACTACCCAGCAATTAGATCAATTGATTTTCAATTCTTCATCAAAACTAGAACAATAGTTCCTTGAGATTCGATGGATCTAGTCTCGTACAGACGCGGTAATTTCATTGACAATCTTCCACAATAACGCCTTCACAGTTCAAAAACTCGCAAAATAATTCTCTAATCGATTTGCCCGATAGTTTTAGCGTTAAGGGTTTCCACTGAAGGACCAGAGGGCAGCGACAAAAATGGCTTCACACTTCCGTCGAAGTAGAACACTCCAAGATACCGTTAAAGTCGAAGATAAAGTCAGAACTTCCAACACACGGCAGTTTCCGTTTAAGTCTTCCTTGCGCACCGTCATAAATCGTCGTCGTATTTGTTTCCTAAGAGTCGGCGGTCTTAAAGAATAGTCGTGGCAGGCCGTCTGCTGCCGCATTTCAACAAATCAGAAGGAAAACCGTTCGCAACTCCCGCCGTACCCGGCGACCGCCAGGGAGCTACTATTTTTGACCCGAAAGCGTAAATCTCGCGGGAACCGTCGAGATTCTTTCCGCCGATGGGAACCGTTACGTCGCAGTTTCCGTAATACTTCAGGAAAGAAGTTCGGCGCTGCTTCGACTTGCGCCGGCGTTACACGCGTGAAATGTAACCGAGTAACGGGCTGTGGCACGCGGCCACATTGATTCAAATGCGACGAAAGGGAGGACGCAGGTTCGTTTCGCTTTCCTGTTCTGCGAATCGTTGCGGCGACAGTTTCCTCGCACGAAATTTGATGAATTCAGACGTTCATTGTAGTATTCGAGTCGAAGCTATTTGTTTTTAGGATCATTTCGAATATTCAATGCTTTTGAGATATTAACACTAGCTTTACGGAACCCGTCAATTTGACGGATGTAGCATTTTTTAATTATTTATCTAGTATCAGTTTAAGTCGATTTTGATTCGTAATTATGCGAATACGCATTGCAATAGTCTGGTTTTGAAGTTATAATTTTCGCGATTTGTATAGACGAACATGTAGTTTTCTGAAAACGATAGAATAAAGTTTAGAATAAACGTCCGTATATCTAGTGTTAATAATTGTGAAACAAAACAATCGAAACCAGTCGTTTTGACTGGTACTTAATAAAATTATTATGACAAACTTATAAAATTTTCAGTTCAGTATTAAACCTTGTGTAATGTATCAGCACATAAAACATCGAAGTAAAATACTTCTGTCTCTGAATTTATAGAAGATAATCAATTGCGTTAGTTGCGAAAAATATCGTTAACATTCAGTCAGAAAGTAACGAATATTTTAAATGAAAAATAGTGTCGAGTGCAAAGGGTTAAGTCAGTCTCAAGGAATGTTGGCATGTGAAATGAAAAACTGCCCGAGTGTAAAGGGTTAACAGCGTCACACCCGTGAACACCGTAGCAATCTCTTTCTCCCGAGCGAAGAATCTGATTGGTCTTATTTAGATTCGAACGGGTTCGCGTGAGACTCGATCATCTTCAGTTTCCACTGTCAGTCCTTTTATAGAATTGGAAAGTCTGCGAGCGCGGCCGTGTTGTTTACATTTGCATGATTGTTTTCACTTATTCGTGGAAGATCGATGTAGAAGCGACGCGCGTAGCCGCCGGATCTCGCCGATCCGATCGCGTGTACCCCCGTGTCTGAAGGTCGGCGCCTGATGCGCTGAAAAATGGCTTTCTCGCGGGTCAAATCGCGGACGTCAGTTTGAGGTCAGCTTCGTTTTTGCTCAATGGGACGATGTATTTGTTCAAGTGGACGCGCGATAGCGTCTCGTTAAAGGTATAATAAAGGGAGACGCGGAGGTCAAACGGCGTATAGATCAATGATCCCTATCTCGCGACAGAGAAAAAAAGTGTGTAACGTTGACCTCTTGAATGAAGTCTGGGTCGGATTTGATCACCCATCGCGGTTCCATTGGTTCTCCTACATCGGCGGGAGCGATGAAAAAATGGTGTCACATCAGTTGAACGTCGGAACGGGCCTTGAAATCGCATCAGCGCGCTCATCTATGCAAGGTGTCGTGTCAACGGTCGTTATAGGGGGTGATCGCTTTATAGAGTGATTTACGCGAGCGGTAGAAATCTCGCATCTCTCTTCGTCGCGACTCGATCATTTCGAAACGAAACTTCCTTCGAAAACGACTCTAGACGCGTTACAAAGCGTTTAGATTCGCTGATACAAAGAGATGCATTCAAAGTAATTACTAGTTGATCGAAGTTGGTATATGTTACGTATGAAATTCGTATACAACGGCCGTTATAGAGGGTGATCGCTTTATAGAGTGATTAGATTCATTGACACAAAGAGGTGCATTGCAGATTTATTTCGAAGTAATTACTAGTTGATCGAAGTTAGTATATGTTACGTATACAACTGTACCACGTGACTCTCAGACACATATGAAAATAAAAGGAACGATTAAAATGCTATTGTATTTGTTTATAGAGTCCAATTTTTAGAAGCCAAAAAATCCTTTGAAAACACAATATGAAATAATCGAAAAATTTAAGTAAAGAGTTCAAATGTGACTCTAAGTCACATCGCGGTCCGATTAGGGTCAAATAAAATATATTTAGAATTTCGATTGCACCTACATAAAGTCTGAAACCATTTGAAATCAGAACTACCTCAATGCCAGCCACTTTCCGTAAGAACACGCTTTCATCGATGCACGTACACGAAATCGAAACAGCTTCGGCCGCGCCACTGGCAGTAGTAACAGCCAGTATCTGATCCGGCCCGGAAACGTGAATCAAAGTTCCCGGCGCGGGTACTCGAGAGAAAAGTGGACGTCGGCTGCACAGAGCGCAGAAGGAATTCCCGTGGAATTTCTGCGTCTTTTGTCGTCCGGCGATTTCTCGTCATCCGAGTAACATTCTCTCGGACCGTACTGTTGCCAGAGGGAGCGGAGATCGGGGACGAGATGTTCCGAGCAGCCTTTCCGTCGATAATGCGGCTGTCAGAAAGAAAAACGGTCGCGCGCGCGACATTCGATACAATGCAGGTCGCTCGGCGACATGCGGGAAAACCGATTCGAGGGAACCCGTCGTCGGTTCTCGGCACGCGAAAGCCGGGAGAAACGCGAAACGTAATTGCGCCCGGTGAATCGGTCCATGGAAATCGAAATCAGACGGAAATTTCATTACCTCGTTCACCGCCGCGACACGGGCCGGGCATAAACAATCGGACACGACGCGATTGTTCGCGATGAAGCGTTTATTAACGGCGCAGTTCGTTAATCGAGAATTCGTAACTCAGACAATTGACCGTTATTACTCCGCCGGTGAATGCGCCGTGTTCACCGCGCCTGTTAAAACGCGTTGACACGTGTTGCAGTGGAACGGAATTACTGGTAATAATAGCGTTGTTCGAGGATCATTAAATTTGTTCGAATTTGGAGAGCCATTCCGTGTAGTTGAACCGAACACGCGCGAGATTATCAAACTTTTCAGCGGGTTCCAATTAACACTTTGCACTCGAGGGTTTTTCATTAGGAATATTCAACATTCTTCGATGAGATACAATGTTCTTTAACACTAGAACTACCGTATCAGAATGATTGATTTCGATTTTTTTAGCAATTATTGATATCTCTGACGCATTGAGTATTCGAAATGACTTTGAAAATAAATAGTTTCGTTTCAGTACTATAATGAATGTCTGAAGAAACTGAAAATAATCTATTGCTACAATTTTTATAGGAATTTCATATTAATCTAAATGCTTGGTAGTTCTAGTGTTAAAACTAATTAATGAGAGAACATATATAAATTAAGAACAAAAGTTTATTTCAATATTCCACATATTGATGCATCATACAAAGCTTAATATATATAAGACTTCATAATTTTTCAAATCAAATCGATGACTGAGAGTCACCTCTCGAGTGCAAGGGTTAAAACCTCTCGAAGCTTCGTCGAACTTTTCGTATCGAGCTTCGAAGAATCATGCTGTCGATTAATGAAGTACTATAGTGTGTTAAGAAACTTCTATTTTCGTGGTAACAAAAGCTTTGCGAGGATCTTGAAAACTGTAAATTCGAAGGGCAGATGTATACTCGTGTAACTTCATCAATTAAAATCGATTTAATCAGTTACAGAATAACACGGATATAGGTTCGATACGCGTCAAATTGACGCGTTCCGTAAACCCAGTGTTAAATGTTTCATTGTATCGAATCGCGGACAGTCGAGTCCGTTTCGAACGTTTAACTTCGCAGCGCAGCGGCGAAGCGTGCTTTTAACGATTCCACGGTTCGCTTGATTGCAGGGAAGACGACAGGTATGCAAAGGTGGCGTGGAAAGACGTGAAGGTCGGCGACCTGGTTCACCTCTCGAACAACGAACTAGTGCCGGCCGACGTGTTGCTCCTGCGGAGCAGCGATCCTCAGGGCTTAGCTTACATCGACACCTGCAACCTCGACGGCGAGACCAATCTGAAGCAGCGGCAAGTGGTCAGGGGTTTCGTCGATCTGCAGGACACCTTCCAGCCGGCCAAGTTCCGATCGGTGATCGAGGTCGATCAACCTAGCACTAGAATCTATAGGTACCGATAACGTTTCCTTCTCTTTGTTTCGATCGAACGATCTATCACACTGCGAGTTATCTCCACTTGTATCTTATTCTTTCCATTCAACAATGATACTGTATCAGTTGTTAATTATTTGTAACACTGATTCCTCATTGATTTGGATGTCCTTGGAACATATCGTTGATTCTGAACTTTGCCCTATGTTACCGCCACGTTGTCTCAGTTTTCTAGATAGTTGGGAACGTATGTTGAAAGATATGTTTCTACGCAATGGGAAAGTTTAGTGATTCATAACTTTGGACTGACATTCGCTTCCGAAGTGTTTGAAGTCAGTGTGCAGAAGATTGGTATTAATAATGTATGTTAACACTAGAACTACCGTACAAGATGACTGGTTTCGATTGTTTTGTTTAGCAATTGTCGATATCTTCGAAATGGTTTTGAAAATAGTTTCATTTGAGTACTATAATGAATGCCTGAAAAAATTGAAAACCATCTATTGTTACAATTTTTATAGGAAATGCATATTAATCGTATCAAATGCTCGGTAGTTCTAGTGTTAAGATCAAGGTCACACGAGGGTTAACGAATCTTCTAGAGAACAAAGGTCGAGAGGTGATAACGTGTACATTGAAAAGTTCAGAATGACGAGTTCGGTAACATACTTCAAGCTCATCGAAATCGATGAGGAATCAGTGGTGTAAATAATTCCTCAGATGTGTTACGAGCACGAAGGAGTAAGATATTTATCGACAGACTCGCTCAGATATCGTTCGCGATCGATCGGCAGCTAAAGAGAATGAAACTCGCGGAAGACTGACGACGACTGTTTCAGGTTTCACGGAGCAGTCGTTCACCCGAACGGCGGCAGAGTACCTGTTTCTACGGAAAACCTCCTACTCAGGGAATGTTTGCTAAAAAATACCGACTTCGTGGAGGGCATAGTGATATACGCCGGCCACGAGACGAAGGCGATGCTTAATAACGGCGGACCCAGGTACAAGGTACGTCGAGGATCCTCTCAATTGCGTCACACGTTTACATTACAGAACACACTTAGCCAGACTTCATCCCGACGAGAGCAAATCCTGAACTCGGAACTTCGAGAGCCAAAATTGACACTAGAACTACCGAGCATTTAATGCGATCGATATGCAATCTCTATAAAAATTGTGACAATAGATTATTTTCAGTTTCACAAGGTGTATTCATAGTATCCAAGTGAAACTATTTATTTCTGAAGTCACTTCAAATATTCAATGCTTTTAAGATATTAACCCTTTGCACTCCGTTGACATTGTAAGATAAGTTTAGAACTTCGTTTTCAGTCAAACATAACTTTCAAATGTACACTCGCTTTTTTAATGACAAAGCAGGGTCTTAAATCTTTTACTGGACCGCGAGAAAAGCGTGTACGTGACTGCGTGAATTTTGCCTATGGACGAAAGATGCGACTGAGAAGGGTGAGAAAGACAGATCGAATGTTGGCCTTCGTGGTATTAAGTTGTATTTTTACGTGTTGTCCACATTGTTTCTCTATCTCATTAAATACATATATATATCCTAATTCTCTTTTTACCGAAGATCCACATTTTCAATATCTATAATAATAGTAGCCCCACTATAAACTTGGGGGCTCGTCCGGGATCACTATATAATTTAACTTTAACAATTTACTTTAATAGTTAGTAATACGATTGGGTATGATCTATGATATATTGGTAGCGACGGAGCCATTAATAGCCCTACAATACTAACCAAACGGAGCGAGGCTTGTTCATTAGTAGCGTTTCCCGTAAGATTACCGAGGGAATCTTTTCCAGCGTTCCAGGCTCGAGAAGCAGATGAACAGGGACGTGGTGTGGTGCGTGGTGATCCTGCTGCTGCTGTGCGTGGTCGGCGCGATCGGTTGCAGGCTCTGGCTGGCCGGTTACTCCAGCCTGTCGTTCGTCCCCTTCATCCCTGTCCTCCAGGAGCCGAGCTACGAGAGCATGCTGACCTTCTGGACGTTCGTGATCATCCTGCAAGTGATGATCCCGCTGAGCCTGTACGTGACCATAGAGATGGCGAAAGTGGGCCAGGTTTATCATATCGGACACGACGTGGCGTTATACGACGCGGACACAGATCGCTCCGCTGAATGCCGGGCGCTCAACATCACGGAGGAATTGGGTCAGGTGAGCAGATTGATCGGTCTCGGTCGCTTGGTACATGGATCGGGAGGCGATCCTTTATTTCCTCCGTGAATAGGCTCCTATGTATACATAGCGACGGTGGAACCTCGGTTATCCGAACTGAGGACAAGCTGGATCGTGTTTGGGTTATCGAATAGTTCAGAACTTCAACCCTCGCGTTAACCTCTTGGACTATGATCTCTTTCTCAACTCTGATCGATACGGCTACTTTGTCATTAATAATTTATTGGGAAAAGAGAAAACTTCTATATGTTGTGCCTATATTTCCTTTTAAGTACACTAGTTGATTACAGGATAATATTTACTTTGAATTCCAATGAACTGAGTAATATATTTATTGAATCACGTTAAAAATCTTCAGGATTCTCACTCGGTGTAGGGCAAGGGGTTAACGCGTAGTTTTAAGAAAGTATATTGAAACTATGGAAACTCTGAATTGAATTAAAGCGATCTAAAATAATCAGATTTATGTAACGACCAACGGAAGATGTAATCGTTGAATTAGAATCCAAGGTTGGATCTAAGCGATTTGCAATTATTGTCAATGTTTTACTTGGTTAAGTTAGCTCTATATCTCGAGAAGTATTGATGCTAGGTCTTTCATTCAAAGTCTTCGTGACACGGTAGACTATGACTGGTTCGGATAATGGAAATTTAAATTTTTGTGTGCACGCATACAGGTACAGTACGTGTTCTCCGACAAGACCGGCACGCTCACCGAGAACAAAATGCTGTTCAGACGGTGCGCGGTGGGCGGGCAGGACTACTCGCACACCGGGGAGGGTGAGAATTTGGTGCCCTCCTCGCGGCTGAAGGAGGACCTGCTGATAGGTACATTTAGACACCATCTACAAGAACTGCTAGTCGTATTAGCGATATGTAATACTGTTGTGGTCAATTCTCAACCTCATTACGACACCATGAACTCCAGCGGGGTGATCGAGGAGCCGCAGAAGAATGGGGACGAGACCGGAAGGTGCGTAACAATCTCTTTCCCCATTGTTCCTCGATATAAATGGCGTTCAAAAGTTCCTGATCGCCTTTGAAACTTTCCTTATAGAATAGACTTTGAGGACTTTTCTTTGTTATGGCGTACAAAGGATTGCATTAGTGGATACTGTACTCTATTCTTTATCACTAGAACTACTGGGCATTTAATACGATTGATATAGTTCTAGTGTTATAGATATTTTTTGGAAATTAATTCAATTTTTCAAAGGTCAAAAAATGCTTGTTTTCTATTGTAATAACAATTTAATGTATACTATTATTTTGTGGACCTTTGCATCAATGACAGCGACACATCAATGTGACTCAACTCCAAAAACGACTTGGGAAATTTTGAACGCTGTAGACTGGATTTGAATGGACATCCTTATTTTCGCTTTTACACTGATCCTGCAGGTACACGAGAATGATAGAGACCAGAAGTTTAACCCCGTCTCCGGTCATTCCGTTGTCGACGCTGTCGCATCCAGCGAACAACCTCGAGGACAACGTGTCGTCGATTTCTTCAATGGTGGAGATGGAGTCTGTCCTTAATCATTCCTCGAAACTTCCTAATAAGCTACCAAGGTATCTACTTAATTTTCATTCGAATACAGTCGAACTCGAATGTCTTCTATGTCTCGAATCCGATTTCAAACCTAACCGTAAAGCGAATCGTAAGTTAATGAGAGTCTCAAGCCGGGCAACCGGCGTTGCAATAATTTCGCTAATGGAATAATTGTTTCCAGGCCAAAATTCCTAAACGTGACGTCTATACCAAGCTTAGGAATGGGACTGCTGGGAAGGAAACTGTCGCCGAACGGAGCGCAGAAGAGACGCAGCCCGTTGAGTCCCGTTACCGACGCTGCCAGGAAGAACGGAGACGTATTGTTACCCACGGCGGCGATTTACGAGGCGGAAAGCCCCGACGAGCTCGCTTTGGTGAACGCGGCTCGCGCGTACGACGTGAAACTGTTGAAACGCACCGCGCGTAGCGCGATCGTGTGCCTGCCGGACAAATCTATCCTCACTTTCGAAATACTTCACGTAAGCTTGTCATGAATAAACTTCGCGCGTGCGATTATCCCCCGCTTCTCCGACGGATCACTTTCTCCGACGCTTATCGAACAGATTAGAGACTCCAGCTTCTTCGTACTGCTACCATCCCGGTCTATGCGATAAGAACTGACGAGTGTTCCATTAGGACTTCGTAATCGACTCGCGTCTTCTTTGTACTTACATCTGTCGAAACACTGTTAACACGTTAAGCGCCATGAAAATCTTAAGCGTTTTCCCATGGAGTCTTTCGTAGCAAAAAAAGGTATGAATAATTATGAATTGTTTGGCGTTGAATGTTTGCGTTACACTATTATCAATTTAGTTGCCTTATTAAATATTTTTATTTCACGTCGTTTGTCTTGTATGTTACGATTGTTTTTTAGTCATTCAGAAGCGTCAGTCGCCAGTGACTGACATGGCGCTTAACGTGTTAAACAGCAGTGTTCTTATAAACGGCTCTTTTCTTTCTAAGAATATTTAAGTAGGCTGAATCGTTCTGCGTCTGCATGCAACGATGAGGACTCACGCGAGAAAGTGAATCGGCGGAGTACTGGATGCCAGCACTATCCGTAACGAACTTCGAAACCGTACAATCTGGCCTGTCCATAACGGGTACATCGTGAATTGCAGGTGCTGCCATTCGACTCGAACAGAAAGTGCATGTCCATCCTGGTGCGGCACCCACTGACCAACGAGTTGGTGCTCTACAGTAAAGGAGCGGACACGGCAATTTTCTCGTCGCTCACGTCTCAGGAAGAGAACTCCGCCACGACGACGAAAGTCCGCCAGCATTTGCAGTCCTACGCGCGTCAAGGTCTCCGGACCCTGGTGATGGCCAAGAAATCCCTGACCGCGCAGGAATACGAAACTTGGCGGCAAACGCATACCGAGGCTGAACTCGCGATGGAGAACCGAGAGCATCGCATCAAAGACTCGTACGCGAACCTCGAATCTCACTTGACCCTTCTCGGCGCGACCGGGATAGAGGACAAGCTTCAGGCTGGCGTGCCGGAGACTATGGCTAACCTGGTCGCGGCAGGGATTGTCGTTTGGGTCTTGACAGGTAGCTAATTACTGAACAGATCAGTTTAACCCTTTGCACTCGGAAGCATTTCGCTAGAAATATTTAACATTTTCTAACTAGACGAAGATCAACTCAAAAAGATTGAATCAACTCAAAGAGAAATCACAAGTATTTCACACACCGATGCATTATACACAGTTCAATATTAAATACCAAATTTTATATTCCTATTGCATCGAATCAAGTGACTGAGTCATCTTGCGCAAAGCGTTAATACTAGGACTACCGAAAAGTCGAATTTAGTTTTTTATAAAAAGTAAAGATTCCGATTGATTTATGTAGTAGCTCGAGCGTTACTCTATCAATATACGTCAGAATCGCTGATATCAAAATAACGCTAACTTCGTGTCGGCAGGGGATAAGCCCGAAACTGCGGTGAACATCGCATACTCGGCGCGTCTGTTCTCGCCGGCAATGCAATTGCTGTGGCTGCAAGCGAGGTCCAAGACGGTCGCCGAAGCCTTGATCCGTGGCTACCTAGAGTCCGCGCGCAGAGAGAGCGCGCTTTACGGAAACGAACACAGAGGAATAGATAATATCAGAGAGACGACAATGTATAACCGCGATGCAGCGGAAAATGACGCACACAGGATAGACAGTCCTTGGCCGAAGCAAAGGGCACTGGTTGTGGACGGGAAAACACTGACCGTCATCCTGGACCCACGTTCAGGATTGACGAGACCGTTCCTCGAGTTGACCAAAACGTGCACCAGTGTGCTAGCTTGCCGAGCGACTCCTCTTCAGAAGGTAAAATCAAATTGTTTCGCGCAGACAGTGACATAGGGGAGAAATCGGGATTCTTCAGGATCACTGTCTAGCTTGTGATCGTTTGTAAAGCAGGTTGTGAATCACTGTGTTACGTTTCAGTCGTATATAGTGCGTATAGTGAAAGAACAGCTGGGGATGAGAACGTTGGCGATAGGCGACGGCGCGAACGACGTTAGTATGATTCAAACGGCGGATGTGGGAGTCGGTATCTCGGGACACGAAGGTACACAAGCCGTCATGGCGGCAGACTTCGCCATTTCACGATTCTCGATGCTTAGCAGGCTTCTCCTGTTGCACGGGCATTGGTGTTACGATCGCTTGGCAAGGATGATCTTGTACTTTTTTCATAAAAATGCTACCTTCGTCTTCCTTGTGTTCTGGTTTCAGGTACAGTATCTCTAACGCGTGTTCCGTTTATTCTATAAGATGGTGCGGGTTCACCGAGTGAAATTCGAGTTTGTGGGAGGAGCTAAGAATGGGCGGAGCGAACGAATGGGAATTGCTCAAAGATGTTTGATCAGTCGCTCTGAAATGAAAGATACTTTTATATTAAAGCAAGTAAACCTTTCTTACAAATTTTTCGTAAAACCATTGGTCTTCTTAAGTAGTGGGCGGTGCCAGCCACGCCCACTTCCCACTCGCTCGGACATGCGCTCTGCGAACCTCAACTTCGCTCGGTAGGGTTGCAATACTCGTGTTCCAATTGATTGTTTCTCGTAGATATACTGCGGCTTCACTGGAACAGTGATGGTGGACCAAATTTATTTGATGTTGTATAACCTAATGTTCACTTCGATGCCACCCCTCGTGTTGGGCGTGTACGACCGAATAGCTTCGCCCGGCCTACTGATGTCCATGCCACACCTGTACAAAAGGGGACGATTAGGATTAGTCTACCAGCCGCACTCGTTCTGGCTAACGATTGCTGATGCTTTGTATCAAAGTATCGTTATCTTTTTCATAAATCACTCCGTTAGTATAGTCTTGACACAACTGAGAATTCCTTGATTATGCATCGCTCTTTAACTCTGGTATTCATACGATTTAGGTGTACTATGACTCGGCTGTAGATATTTGGGAATTCGGAACCACTGTAATGACGTGTTGCATCGTTGTTATGCTTGCCCATGTTGCCATAGAAGTTCGATCTTGGGTAAGTAATCCCTTCTCACGATTTCAACGATTCTCAGTGCAACAAAGATGAACCATTCATTACCCGTTGTTACCATTTTCAGACCATAATCCATCTATTTGCTATAATGGGGTCGTTGAGCGTGTTTTTTGGATTCTGTTTAATTTACAACGTAGTGTGCGTGAACTGCATGGGCCTACTTTGCTCGTATTGGGTAATGGAGACTGCCGTAATGAGGCACACGTACTGGCTCACCGTAATACTTACCTGTGTCCTGGCACTGCTACCCAGGTACGCGTTTTCCATGCACAGCAAAGTATAGAGACCAACGTAGGTATTCTGTACGTTTAACCGTTGTTTCTTTATGTTCAGGTTATTGTACAAAACCATAATATCGACCGTATCCCCGGACCTCACAGAAAATGCCATGTTCAAGGCACTGAAGGCCGGAGGCCATCGACAACGAATCGCTGAGAGAAGCGAGAATAATTTAATCGCTGGTTGGTCCCGCTCGACTCAACATGCTACGATAAGGTACGCGTTGAACACTGTTGCTAAATTACAAATGATTCAATGCTGAAATTTATTTGAAGTGTCTATTTTGTAAACTATAGCGAAGTTCCCTAGATACTCTGCAATTTTATATTTCAAAAGATAGCGTTATAGATTGATCCAATGATTTTGTATTCCAGAACTGGAACTAAAAACGATACGTTGACGACTATCGTTGCATGACATACCCTGAAACGTCCAACAAGACTGTCAGCAGCTTACAGCAAGTCCGCGGACACTGTCAAGATTGCTGCTCTAGCGAAAATCTTAAAGAGAGACGCGACGGCGTCGATTTGTCGCATTTCAACTGTGTACTGTTCCTAAGGTTCAAAGAAGTATTGCTAGGAAGTTTACGTTAAGTATATAGTGTGCATCCTCGGTTCTAATCAAAAACCCGTTTCACCGTACCGGAGGCACGTTGCTCGCTGATATCTTGTCGTCTACCGTCGATCGGTTTCGAGTAGTGTTTCTTTAGTTGTTGAATCGAGTGGCTTTAACATTTCCGATTATTGTTCGTTGCATTTGATGGCTGTGACTTTTAGGGACCAAGACTGTTAGTCCGTTAGCAATATCGTCGTCCACCGGCGATTCCAGTGCGAGCTCCATGCGGGACTTGTTCGAGCGCGGGTTGCATATCGAATTAAGTAGAGTGTAATTCAGGTCGTAAGTGTCTTCTTAAGGATAAGAAACAGGAAGTGTGTACATGTAAAACGATCGTAATGTATGCTTGGATGTAATCGTACACAATAATAATATATACTGACCTGCATAACTGGTAAACTCAATGGTGCTATACAGAGATCTTTGGTTTTATGAAAATTATATAAAGACGCTGGTAGACGAATCCTAGGGCGGATACTGTACAGAGCAACTAATTACTTTGTTAATAGATCCTTAGACCTGTTCAGCACATTTTGGACATGTAGCGAACTGTATGGGCCCGAGGATCGCGGATGGCCTGGACCATAAATCACCTTTTCCTTATGGTTCCGTTGTTTTTACCATTACCTCCAAGAATACATTGTCTCGTACCAAGTTAACGTTGTACAAATAGTATAGTTCTGTTGTATATGCAAGCGGAAGTCCTTGTGCGACGTCCTCGAAGCTCGCGACTGTATTATTATTGTAATTTTGGAAACGTACGTGTACAAGCGCGCTCTGCCAGCATAGAAGTTCTATTATACATGTGTATATTCAACATAACCGACGACACGTTGCACGTGTTGACATAGTATTTTGATATACAACTGACAGCAACTGCGTGTATGTAGCGACGATAGTAAACCGAGTGTTCTTTACATTTCTCTGTGATTCATTCAGGTGAAAATGTCTCCACCGATTCCTACGTTCCTATTACGCGAGACTGTTCAATCGTCATCTGCACTTTCGATTTCCAGATCATAGCTGCTTTCGCAATTCCTTTGTCGACATTTCGCAAACCTCGCAATTCCGTTCCGCCAGGGCCATTACAAAATTTCATCAACTTGCCTTATAAACCTTTCAATCTATTACCTTTTGCGTAATAAAATACAGTCATCGATTCATTAGTTGTAAGTAAGCATTCCATTTTTTAATTAGAAATTCATTCTCGCGAGACGCAGAGGTCTTCTGTATTCTCGATAGTTCAACATTTAGAGCATTTAGTTTCCACGGAATTTCGTCTCGCTTCTAGGAGTGTTCCGTTACATTCGCGCCTCTGAACATCGTCTCTCGCGAGTTTCGCTTGACGGTAGCGAACGAGAGCTGTTTGCTCTGCTAGAGATACGTAACGATTAATACGTGCGTAGTGTAAACGACCTTTGCATAAACAAACTTCGCCCAATGAGTCGTAAACACGTAAGAGATACGAGGACGAGAGTGTAAGAAACTAGCGTGACACGATAAAATAACAAACAACCGATCTTAGTTAATGGCTGTGTATTTCTTACGAGCGTTTACACTGATTGAAACACCGTTCAGATAGGAAGACGTCTCATCTGTTCTCGCTGTAACCGAAGTCATTTCATGTTCCTCCCCGAACAGAATCAATCAACTTCCAATGATAAATCTTGAGGAGCCTTTACCTGGGAACGTCAACGAGGAATCCTTTCTTTTCTACAGAAGGTAATCTACTTTTCAGATTCTAATTTTATATAAATATACATCTCACAATATTGCTACAGTGCAGTCACAATGCAAGGGGTTGAACACCATGCATACATTACAGAAACATCTTACCAGTGCCAAGTTCTCCGTTACACTGTCTAAAAGTGCCTATCGGTTCGTAGAATCAAATTAACTTTATTTATTTGTCTTTCAATTTATTTTTATTTTTGCAGTTATCTTCTTAGAAATGGGAAAATGGAACGATCGCGCTGTTTACAATCTTTTCATGTAAAAATAAAAACCTGTAATTTTGAACTGAAACGGAAGAAGTGCGATCACGCCGCTTGGCACTTTTCGACCGGATTTTTGCAAAGACTCGTGGCACAACGGTTAATATTCAACATTAAACTCTATACTATTTCCCACAGAGTTTGCCTTTGTAGCAAAGAAAAGCAGGAACGATTACGAATTGTTTGGCGTTGCAACGTTTGCGTTACACTATTACCAACTTAATTGCGTTGTTAAACATTTTTATTTCACATCGGTTCTTGTATGTCACGGTTGGTTTTAGTCATTCAGAGGCGTCAGTCACCAGTGACTGACATGGTTAACGTGTCAAAAGACTACATCCCTCCAGGAAAACTATCTCCAACAAACAACTCACAAATCGTCAAAGATCCTCGTTCAAATCTAGAAGCAATTTCGAAACCTCTTTAATCCCTTCCTAAGTAGAAACAGGGTTGAGCACCGTTCGAGTGCCGTGATTCCGAAGCGGGCACAGAAGGCCAGAAGTTGAGAGGCACTGCTCGATGCGGAAACACGAACGCCTGGTGGGGATGGGATCGAAAGGCCGCCCGTGGAGTACCGGGGGATCTTTCGGTGTGCTGCGACAACGGTTCTCTCAGTGCATGCTCGGTACTGTTCCCGCCGAACGTACCGGCGAGTTCGCGCTACGAGCAGACGATTCATTCACGGTTCGCTCGCGATCGCGCCTGTTTGTTTAGGTGATTCGCGACTGGACCGTCCCGGTCGAACTTCACGAAACAAGTTTCTCAGTGCGAACCGCCGGTTCGGACGTCGAGGACTCGTTCGGAGCCAAGTGTACGGTCCTTTGTCAGCGAGTTCTCTGCCACTGAAGTTCGAAGCCCAACTGAGCCTTCTGATCCTAACGAGATCCGTGCCTTGACTTTTCATTGCGCTGAACCTCGCGAGATCGATAGACTTTTCCTGCTTTCGACGCTTAATGCTTTCCGCATAGTCAGAGAGTGTCGAGGGAAACCCGGAGCACTGTGAGTTGCGGTACTGATATTAGAACTACAGGGTGTTCCAACGGCCGTGGCGCAAGGTGAACGGGGAGCACTCGCGAAAATGACGAAAGTGCGAGGTTTGGTATCGAGGAACGCGTTTAATGTTGCATCGAATTCTACTTGCATCGGCAAGTGGAATGAGCATGCAATGCACAGACAGGTGTAGTCTCTTTGTTCGCTTTCGTTAGAGTTTCGTTCCGTTTCAACTGGCTTTTTCACGAGGAAGGACTTTGTTCCCAGTTGTGCCACGGTTGCTGGGGCACTAGGTGTAAACAGGCACCTCGTTGTTCCGTAGCGTGATAGTCAACGTGTTCAAGGAGAGACACGTACGTGTATGTTTAATTTTAGTCGTCTGGTTGGGACGTGTTTCTTGCTTTCTAGGGTGGAAGCGTCGGAGTAGGATCATTTCCATTTGGAGATTGCACGCAGAGCTAGGAGACTGTTTTAGCTCGTATTATTCGCGACTCTCAGTATCCCGGAGCGCAGCCGGACTGAGATGTTAATTCATTGTTCGCGAGCGCTCTCCGTGCTTTCTCCTCTGCGTCATACTGGTTTCCCCCTCGACGGTGACCGCTCGGCACACACGTGCTCACCGCGATTGTTTTTTAGCTCGGTACTCCCCGGGACGTGTAGTCAAAATGCTCGGAACTACAACTCGTTTCACGCGGCGAACGCATGGCAGCGCCGACGAAAATTTAGAGTCGATGGCTGGGAAATGAGTCACGGTGTGGGAGGGACGAAGTGTTTCTTGAACTTAGTGACGTTGACGAATATACTTCGCGATCGGTATCTTTGGTGTCACTATTTATCTCTCTTCGCGTTAACGCGACGACGATGAACGTTAATAGTCGAGCTCGGAATCAACGGTTCAAACGATTCGTTCCATTCATTCACTAAATACAATTAACTCTTCTGTTTTAACTACAATGAACAGAGTGTTTCTTTATGGAAACACTCGGATTTAGGATTTCTTCTCATAGAAACAGAGAAGAATTCATCTCTAGAATATTCCAAACAAAATTCAATTTAGAGACTGAAGTTAAAGCAGTTACCTCTGATTATAATTTATTTATGAATATTTCCACTTTTCTAGAAGATCGTAGATTCATTCACTAAATACAATTAACTCTTCTGTTTTAACTACAATGAACAGTGTGCTTCTTTATGGAAACACTCGGATTCAGGATTTCTTCTCATAGAAACAGAGAAGAATTCATCTCTAGTATATTCCGAACAAAATTCAATTTAGAGACTGAAGTTAAAGCAGTTGCCTCTGATTATAAATTGTTTATGAATATATCCACTTTTCTAGAAGATCGTAGATGTTCACAGTTGAAACTTCACGCAGATAACAAGTTGAACGGAAACGGAGATTAAATTTTGCCAAAACAATTCCGAGAATAGCGTCGAACCAAGAACGCCTGGATCTCCTGTTGTACAGTTGATTCGAGGGTCATAAATACTTGCGCGCGATAAGCTGATTCGTGTACAGAATCGCGGAGACAATGTTTATCGACGTGTACCGCGGTAAAGCGAGGCGACTGTGGAAGGCCATCTGCGACTTTATCGCTCGGCCGAGCGTAGGAAAGAGGAAAAGCCCCTGTACGATGCACTCGAGCACGCGGGTACACTTCAATTTTACCGTAGCGCGTGCTTTTTGTTGACTCCCGCCGCCATTTATCTCGTGCAGCTTAATCTTAGATGTCACAAGTGTTTCCGTCACTCGTGCTCACGCAACGGCGTTCGGAAAATGAAATTCACTCGCAATCGTTCGCTAATCAGAAACGTAACTCATCGCATGCAACTTGTTAACTGGATGACTTTTATTCAAATATCTACGAACTGACACGAACATCAGCTCCTATATATTAACCCTTTGATACAGTAAAACTATAAAATTTGATATTTAATATTATACTTCGTACAGTGCATCAATTTGAGAAATATTGAAATAAAATAGTTTGTTCCTCAATGCACGTGTGATTTCTCTTCAAGTTAGATTCACAAAGTATCGTACTTATCTCATCAGAAAATGTTGAGATATTTCTAATGAAAAACTTCCGAGTGCAAAGGGTTAACCTTTGCACTTGACAGGTGACTCTCAGTCACCACCTGATTTGATACAGTAAAACTTTGTATAGTGCCTTTGTATAGTGCCATTTGACCCCTCTAGTAGTTTTAGTGTTAATATTATAATTTATTCTGTGTATTCTCCACTGTGAAATCATGCGTTCAACGTATTCGATGAAACTGATGTCACGAGGATTTTAAACGCGCTGCTAGTGTAGATGTAATTCTTGGAATAAATCGAATAGAATCGATGAAAATTCACGCGAAAGGAATAAACGAATCGATTCGCGTTCCACGGTTAACAGGTTAAATCTATATGACACGGTTCTCGTTGCACAACGTGCCGTCCGCACGAACAGTGCGCGTTAGAGGATGATAGTTGCCGCAAATGTGGAGTAGGCCGGTGACGACGATAACAGGTCGCGATAACGATCCGTAGCTAAGGTTACGAATCGAGTTTTCACTGGCGATCACGTTGGAGCTTGGCTATCGAAAGAAAGTCGCCGTTGGCTTGGACGTAGTGCTAGGTCCGCGAAAATATAGAACGAAAATGAGTCATTGTACTGAGAACGGAAGCGAGCGACAAAGGCTCGGCCGTTTGGCATCGTTTTCTAGCGAGCCGCGGTGCATAGTACGCGCCGCTCATTCATTATCAACTACCGTGCGGTCAAAATCGCTGGTGCATTTCTCGTAGAACTCGAAGAACTCTGAACCTCTAATATTATTAATAATATCACCTTGTGCAGCGAGATTCATCAACGTAAACGTCCCACAACAATAACACAATTCAATAAATCAATATTATCTTTTCCATTTCGCGTATGCTCGGTGAAATTGCGCGGCATTCAGTTAACCATTTGCACTCGAGTGGTGACTCTCACTCATCACTTGATTTTATACAGTAAAGTTATAAAATTTGATATTTAATATTATACCACGTATAAGGCATCTCTGGGTGATTTCTCTTCGAGTTAGTTTCACAAAATATCGTCTTTATCTCATCATCGAATGTTGAAATATTTCTAGTGGAAAACTGCCGAGTGCAAAGGGTTAACCCTTTGCGGTCCGAAGTGCTCTTGGTTTCTCACTTTGAGGTTCACGTCGACATAATATTTGGAAGTCACTGAAATGTCTTTAAATGGTACAACTGTGATGCCACAAATAAATATAGAAAAAATTGTTAAAACAGGCAGAGGTTGCAATAGAATAGAATGGACTGCTAAGGGTTAAGGAGACTCACAGAATCCAACAAACAAACGCATCTGCTTTCAAAAGCAGAATTTGCATTTGAAACGAAACGTAGCGAAAAGCAGCAGAAATGCCAAAACTTAACAAAAGGCTCGGAATTATCGGATAACCGAGGTCGCGACTGCGTATACGCGATTAATCCCTTTACGTTATTCCAATATGGCGAGGCACTTCAGCCCCTGCTCAGCCCGCGGTGTCCGTAGAATACAGATAAGGGTCGTATCGGGAACTATATCTATAACGCGCCTACGCGACTTCTTCGCGGCGGCAATGAATCATCGGTCGCAACGATCGTTAATGGTCGTCGCCGTCGGTGCTCTTGTCGTTGCAGATCCACCTGTGGAGCTGCCTGAGGCGGAAAACGGGCAACAGTCTCGACAAGAGTCCGGAAGCAGAAGAACCTCGGAGAACAACGAAGCACTCGTGAACCATCGTCGGCCTGGAAAGATCATCCACGTTTCATCCGGAGCGATAAAACGTCTCAACGAGGAATCGATCGAACGAGGGCGTGATCGCGATCCGGAGCTCTCGTCGAAGCCTATAAGAAGCTGCTGCTGGCAAAGCGAACTGGTCTCTGAATCTACCAGATGAAAATCCGGTGCTTATCGCAGTGCTCTTCTCTCCCATTGCTCTTCCGCTGATCCGAGGATAGCGAGTCTCATCGGTGATCGAGGAACCGGCTCAACCCGCGTCGAAACACTCGCTCGGAAGACTCTGAATCGAGATCGGGGCGTCAGCTGCATTTCGCTCGGCGCGAGTGCATCGGTTGTAGCGGATTGCGTAATCGGGAGACCTTGGTGCACCGAGGATGACCTTCGCCGCCGTCCCGGCCGTCGGTGCGTCGTCGTCGGGAGAAAAGAGCTCGGCGATAAGGCCGGGAGCGGAGTAATTAGTATCCGTCCGCGATCGCTGGAACGCTCGGCGTGGGTGACTCGAGCCTCGAGTGGAGCGGCGAGTCGAGTGACTGGTCGAAGAGGATGCGGTACGCGTGGCGGAACAGGTGACTCCGGCGAGTGGCACTCCTGGGAAGATCCGTGGCGGCCGAGCCAGATCCCGTGGCCGTTTCTCGAGTGGCCGCCGCCCGCAGAAACGAGAGATGACGGTCACTTACACCGCCGAAGTCGCTACCTGCAAAGGTCTCGGTTGCTTTCTAAAATTACTCCTAAGGTAAGCGCTTTCGGGGGGCTTGGCTCTCTCGACCGTACGCGTCGCCGGGAAGGTCGTGCGAGGAAACGGCGCGATTAGAATCTCGCCGGCTGCTAGAACTTTTGCTTTCGTTCCGTTCGTTCGTCGGTCGTTCGTCTAGATGTTCGATTCGTTATGCAACGGGATTAGCGTGACGGTGCTCGGAAAGCTGATCGTTACGACTGAACGGGCGGCCGAGTTGTTTGGATCGAATTAAACGAATTAGAGGCCGCGCCGTTGAATAATCGCTTTTTAAAGCGATCGTCTCTTTATCGCGAGCAGAGGAGAGCTCGTGCGAGGCACGTGAAGATATTCGTGGTGAACAGATGGATCTGGGGCTTGAATTCGACGCTATATGCGGCCTAGACGCGGCGGAACAAGAGAAAGGATCACGTTTCACGTTCGCCACTTGCCTCTCCGCTTCTAGGAACATTAGATAACCGAATATAAATAAGAACAACAGAGCCGGCGCATACACTGGCGAGTTTCTACAGGTTCGGGCCCGTACTTCAGCTGTCTATCGACGGTCGCGTGTGATTCGCTTATGTCACCAGCCCCGTTGTTCGTTAGCGGCTGAATAATAGACCGCCCGATGAAGTTTTCAAAGGAGGCAATTAAATCGTATTCCGTTTTAGAACTCGACACTCGGCGCGAGGCGGGAGAGCAATTACGCTTAGCCGCGAGTAAATAATAGGCACGTCGGACGATCCCGTCGCGTCGTTCCGCGTTCGACGAGGAATTCCGCCGATCGGCGCGCGTCACGCGAGAAGAATGGCCGTCGGTTTCGCGAGATCGCCGGCAACCCGTGTCTCCCGGATAACGGATGGATTAGAAGATCGTATCGCGGGATTCCCGGTACTTGTCGTATTCGTTGGCCGCGCAATAATTTATCAAGGGCTCGCAAGCATTCCGAGCACGCCGCTCGCGTTCGCCAGCGTCGGAGATACATTATTATCGTCGCGCGCGATGACAAATCTTCTCGCTCGGTTTCGTTAATACGCTCGGGTACGTCGAAGCCTGTTCCATTAGTCAGGCTGTTCGATTACCGCGAACAATTTACCGAATCCTGGAATCCCGGTCGGTTTCGTCGGCGACTGTAATAGAGTCTCGATCATCCAGACCTCTCGTTGCTCGGAGGAAATCAAGTTCCTCGGCGATTGACGTCGATCGAGTGTTATTGACGTTTATCGCGTAACGTCTTCTAATTCGATGTTACTAAATATTGAGCAGAATTATCAAGAATTCTAGTCTATATTCGTTAGAATCGACTTTCTCGGAAGTGGAACGGTTAATCTAGTTGTGGTTTCCGACGTCGGGCAATTCGGAACGAGTTATCATGTGACGTATAAGAATTATACGAGCTCTGAAGCTAATGCGGTTAGGTCGACTGTTTGATATCTGATATCTTTTGTTTAATTTTTCTTAATTCTAATGCGGTAAATATTCTCAGTTATTAAAGGATTCACTTGTTTCTTCGTTTGTTCTACCTCAGTTCTACCCTTGTTCCTATGGCTTCTCAACGCATTGTATAATCATTTCAGAAGCCAAGACATTCATTTTCTCTATTTTCCTTTCTTGGACTTCACCTCTTGCGCCAAGGACGTGCCACGCGTCGAGATGTTTTTATTCCAAAATTCCCAATGATTTATATACAGCAATAGTTCTCTTGCATTACTAGCATTGGATCCTTAAATCTGTCCCTACAAAAGTATTAATAAACATTGCTGCACATCCGTAAAATACAGAGTCTCCCACAAGACTGCCAAATCTCAGAATCAATTTCACGCAAGAGGTCAACCGCATTGGCTTCTGGGCAACTCACATGTCACGCGCGTCGAGATGTTTTTATTCCAAAATTCCCAATGACTTATATACAGCAATAGTTCTCTTGCATTACTAGCATTGGATCCTTAAATCTATCTCTACAAAATTATTAATAAATATTGCTGCACACATCCCCGTAAAATACAGTCTTCCCAAATTCTGCCAAATCTCGGAGTCAACTTCGCGCAAGAGGTTAACCGCATTGGCTTCCGGGCGACCCGCATGTCACAGAGAGAGAGAGAGCCATCATGATTCCGGAGATGCTTAAACGACGAATGTCCGGAAGAACGTTGGGAACCACTGATGCATAGTCTACTCCGCTTCCTTTCACGAAATTAATCCCTCGTGGCATCGCGCTTCCGGCTCGACGACCCCATCTATTATTGCTCCTTCGACCGGGTCGCGTCCGCCGGTCGCTCGTAGCCGACCCGGGTTCGGAATTGCACACGTGTCGCCCGCTCGTCGCGAGAAGCGGCGCGCTCTGTTTCTTTCTCGCGAGAACACCGTCTCGAGGGACACGTCCGACGGAAGCCCCGTCGACTCCGTTCCCCGACGCGCGATGCGATCTGCACGAGGCGCGTTTGCATTCGCCATTCCACCCCGACAACGTTTCGCCTTATTCATTAGCCGGACGGTGCAACGGATGCCTGTCTATCGCGATTCACCGCTTGTTCGCTTAATAGAGGCTTGTCGACAATTTCACGGCCAGGAGTATTCCTAATTACGCGCCACGCTCGAAAGCACGAGGAAATCTCGCGATTTGTATGCAACTCTTATCTGTGCAGTTTTTTCGTTAACGCGAACTGTTGGACGACTGGAATCGCTGCGCGCGTCGATGGAGGTGTTTCGATTCAGTTGATAAATCGCAGCGAAGCCAACCTGCTCGATGAAGGATAGCTCCGGTAATCTAGCGTCGAGATTGCTTTCGCAACTGCAGTTATCGGAGTAATTCAGAGCATTAGAAGCGAGAATGATTGCGCGTTCACCTTCGCGCGAGACATTGATCTCGCGGTGTAATTGCTGCTGGAAATTTATAAAGAAAGCAACGTTTAGGACTCGCAATCTGCAATTATACCAGGTCGCGTGAATCACTTCGACGGGAATAATCTCCGTCGGCCGTGACTCTTGCGTTCCTAATTGTAACAGGTACACCGCGGAATACGTAGATGAATAGTATTGATAAAAGGGAATGATTAATAGGAAACATAAATATGGTAACGAGGTCATTGCAACTGGCCTAGAGCCACAGATCGATCCGCGCCATGTCCACGGTTCGCGCGATACATCGTGACGCTATCGAAATAACGCCGCGCGGTCGCTTGTAAAGCGGCATTCCCACTTATTCGCGATCGTCGCGTACGAGGGCAATAAGAAACCTTTGCCCGTGCGCGTCGGCCATTTTATTCTAGGATGATATGTGTTGGGAGCATCCGGAGACGCGCAAATTATCGAAATCAAAGTGCAGCCGGCTAGACGATACATCTACGCGAAAAATCAGTCGAAAATATGGAACAAATGTTTACTCCGAGATATTTTGTCGTCGAGATAATCGACTTCGGTATTTTGCACGACACTTTAGCTGTAAGAGAAGTGGAAACTGCAAGCTATGCACAGACACGTGCGCCGATAACGTTTCCTGCATTCTCCAGTTATCTTTCGGCGCGGAGTCATTCCGCTTTCGGTTCCATTACACTTTCGAGGTATCTCATAACTGTACGAGCAGATCTCGAGGAAAAGAAGTCTCGTGACTGGCTCTGGAATGCGTCCAATATTTCGAGATTACGCGGCTACGCGTAATACCCGTTGGACGCAACGCTCAGCCGTCCGTCGTTCTCTTGAATCATGTTGGACGGTGATAAGGTCGTTCCTCGAAGACCTCGAATATGAATGGGACGGTTAGACGTACTTAGGCAAACGACCAACTCGCGTTCTGACGAATATCGTCGGATACGATCGCTTTCTTCGCGGAGAATAAGCATTCGCGGGAAGTTACTTGAAACTCGCTGGAGCTACTCTGCTAACATTCCCTCGTCTCGTGTATTTAATAAATTGAAGGATTGACGAATAAATTCGTAATAAGCTAATATTTAATATATCTAAAGATTTAAATTGTTTTTATTCCTAATCGTACCACGATGTGACTCAGTCACTTATGAGTATAAAAGAGATTAAAATGTTATTGTTTCTGTTTACAAGGCCCAAATTTTAAAAGCCCAAGAAAACTTTTGAAATTGCAATATGAAATAATCGAAGAATTTAAATAAAACGTTCAAATGTGACTCAAAGTCACTTATGAGAATAAAAGGAATGATGAAAATATTATTGTTTCTGTTTATAGGGCTCAAATTTTAAAAGCCCAAGAAAACTTTCGTAATTGCAATATAAAATAATCAAAGAATTTAAGTATTTATGTGACTCGATGTCGCATCGTGGTCTGATTAGGGTTAAGACTACTACTTCACGTAATTTGTTGTCAATACTTCCATTTTCAAAGCTACTCGAATGAGTTCCAGTCTAATTCCATGTATTACTCGATACAATATCCTCTTAACGTAACGCTTCGACGCAGCGTGATCGATGTCACTCCCATTATCGAACGATTGAAAAGTATCGGCGCATTGCTAGATAAGCGGATCTCCTTGGTCGATTGGCTAAGCATCGAATAACGTTATCGCGTTGTCTATCGGCGGGGCGAAAAGAACGCGCGTATCGCGGGCGACGTGCCGAGCGACGGTTTTTATCAGCGCCGATACGGGGATCGGTTAACGCCGGACAGGTTTCCGTCGTTGTCACGTTTCTCCTGTAGGCACGTTCTAATTTTAGATGGCGGGCGAGCATATACAAACTCGTCTGGCTAGACCTGGCCCTCTTCCTCTTCATATACTACACGCTGTCGAGCATTTATCGGCTGATACTCGACGAGGAGCAGAAGAAGATCTTCGAGGCGATCGTGGCGTACTGCAACGAGTACAGCGACCTGATACCGCTGTCGTTCGTCCTTGGTTTCTACGTTAGCATCGTCATGACCAGATGGTGGAATCAATACATGGTGATACCGTGGCCAGACTCTATCGCGGTCTTCGTGTCGGCGACTATTCACGGCAACGACGAGAGGGGTCGACTGATGCGCCGAACTATCGTCAGGTACGACTGCCCCGGTAACGCCGTCGACGATAGCGACGGCGGCTAAACACGCCGAGATTCCTCTATGGTTTATATCCGTCGCGACGGATCGCGACGCGATACGCGTTGCGAATGAGACGGATTCGTTGCTTGGTTTAGCAGATCTGTAGGATTAGTAGTTGGATCCAATATTAACCTTTGACTCGAGAGGCGCCTTGATAAAATTTTCAATTCAATATTAATGTGCAACGTGTCAACGCATGAAACATCGAAGTAAAACAGTTCAGTCCCTTAATTTATAGAAGATAAGCAATCGCGTTAGTTGCGAAGAATATCGTTAATATTTAGTCAGGAAGTAATGAATATTTTTCATGAAAAATATTGTCGAGTGCAAAGGGTTAACCCCTTGGCCTATGATCTCTTTCTCAACTCTGATCGATACGGCTACTTTGTCATTAATTTATTGGAAAAAGAGAAAAATTCGAAGCATATTTATATATATAATTCGAAGAACCGTTTCCTAGGGGAACGAAGTCCTCGGTGACTTTTCCATCAGTTCCCGTTTGTCCGTTAGGTACGTGTGCGTGTGCCTGACGCTGGTGCTGACGATGGTCTCGCCCCGCGTGAAGAAGCGTTTCCCCACGTTGGACCACCTGGTGGACACCGGTCTGCTGCTGGAGAACGAGCTGGTGATATTCCAGAGCCTGAACGACAAGTTCCCGAAACCGAGCAAGCACTGGCTGCCGATCGTTTGGGCGTCGAGCATCGTCACTCGGGCCAGGAAAGAGGGCCGGATTCGCGACGACTTCGCTGTGAAGACGCTGATCGACGAGCTGAACAAGTTCCGCGGCCTCTGCGGCAGCCTCATGCACTACGACACCATCAGCGTGCCTCTGGTCTACACTCAGGTAGAACTTTTCACTGAGATTTGTCTCATTTGTCCGTCTAGCGGTGTTCCGCGAAATTTTTATTTGGCTGTCGATATTGTATTTTCGGATTGCTTGATGTTCCACAGTGTTTCGGGATCGAAATTTGATGGACCCTTAGCACTCCAGGTTGTTTTGTAATCTATCAGTAGCTATAATTTTTATAGTATTCCTAGCGAAAATGAGAAATGCTATATTCCTTCGATCTTTTATTTTCCTTCTTAGAAAATTTGGATGCGCGGAAAGTCGAATAATTTCAGGGTGGTTTCTTTAAGATTCATTAAAATGTTTAATCTTAGAACTGGTGTAATATTGGAGCCTACAGAGTTCAAAGGGTTAAAATTGCTATTGGTATTTTTACCTTATTATTATTTTATATTATTACTAATTAGTAGTTTTGAAGGGAAGGGTTCTTTCGAGGCGGCTGTCGCCATATTTCTTGGTCGCTTCTTCCGCAGGTCGTCACGTTGGCTGTGTACACGTACTTTTTGACGAGCGTGATGGGCCGGCAATGGGTACAGAATTCGAATACGTCGACGATCGATTGCTACTTCCCAGTATTCACGACGCTGCAGTTCTTCTTCTACATGGGTTGGCTGAAGGTCGCTGAAACTTTAATCAATCCGTTCGGCGAGGACGACGACGACTTCGAAGTTAACTGGATAATCGACAGGAATTTACAAGTGAGTCCTCGCGACGGATCTCGGGTTTCATTGGTTTACTTAAACGCGGTGTCCTCTTTAGCACTTTGAACCTTGAATGAGATTCACTTTGAATAGGTTCGATTGTTAAGGTGTAGAAAACAGGTGGTAGACTTTTAGACTCTAACTTCGATTTTGGTACTTCTGGAATAATATAAGTAAACTAAAGTGATATGTTTTATGTAATTACTAAGTAAAGGCAACGGTAATTGACCTCTGATCGGTAGTAGTGATATAGTGTTTTATGTAATTACAAAGTAAAGGCACCGGTAATTGACCAGTGATTGATATTGGGCCATTTTTCAGAAAAATGGAAATAAGGTTTTTAAAACTAATAATCGATAAAGACACTTTTACCCGAATCAAATTATTTATCGCAAAGGCAAGCAATTTACTGGATTAACGTTGGCTGTACGCTTCCAACTTCCAACGCGGGATTAACTTCTTTCCATTCGCATTATTCCTTTTACCAGCAATTCCTCATAACCGCTGCAAATAAGCGACATTAAAGTAATCACCATTAGTGTTTTCCGTTTCACTATAAGTGGTCAACAGCTGATACGATCAATTACTAGTTTCCTCGTTCTAAAGGACGCTCAACTTCTCTACGGAAGTATCGAACGTTCAGAAATCTTTCAGAGAACGTTCAGAAGAAACCGAAAATAATCTGTTACTACAATATTCATAGCAATTACATTTCAATCGTATCAAATGCTCGATACTTTTACTGTTAATCAGAAATCGCATTCGATTGTTTCAACGAGAAACCCAGACAACTGTTCGAGCTTCGAAATGTTAACGATCGCACGTCGTTGTTTGAAGAAACCGAAAATAATCTATCACTACAATATTCATAGCGATTACATTTCAATCGTGTCAAATGCTCGATACTTAGGATTTTTATAGGGATTTCATATCAGTCGTATTAAATCCACGGTAGTTCCAGTGTTAACAAGAAACCATAAATTCAGGGACGAAACTATTTTCTTTCAATATTTCACGGATTGATGCATTGCACGAAGTTTAAATATATTAATACAACATTCATAGCGATTGCATTTCGATCCTATCAAATGCTCGATACTTCTACTGTTAATCAGAAATCGCATTCGAGTGTTTCAACGAGAAACCCAGACAACTGTTCGAATTTCGAAATGTTAACGATCGCACGTCGTTGTCTGTCGAAAGGTGAGCTACCTCATCGTCGACGAGATGCACCACGAGCATCCAGAGTTGATCCGCGATCAGTATTGGGACGAGGTCTTCCCCACAGAGCTTCCGTACACAGCGGCATCGCAGGCATTCCGCGAGGAGCATCCGCAGCCGTCCACCGCCGGGATCCAATTATCAGCTGCCCAACAGGAATTGCAACCGTCCTCGGTCAGGATAGACGAGATGGCAGCGGAATATCAGCAGAAGTACCGACCGGACATCGCCGACGACGCTGCGTCTGGCATACACTTCACGGCGACCGGAAAAATGTCAAGGTTGGACCGCGCGGCGCACCGCCTTTCAATCGTTCCGCGCTCACGCGATGCATCGCGTTTTGTTTCGAGCCTTGTCATTTTTATCACTTGGCAAACTCCATTTGTTTTGATTAATCTCTCACCTTTGCATTCGACGCACTAATGTTTCTTTTTTCTTCGACGCTCGCGTTTCGTTACAAGTCTGAGGATCGTTTGGAATTAACCCTTCGCGGACGAAACCTATTTGAAATATGCAAAACTTAATTGCTTAATTAATGGAGAGGAAGCTACGTACAGATCTCTCGTTTAAGTAGTTCAATCATTTATTTGCGACGTGTTCCGAATGATTTGATCTCTCCGAAATGTCGACATTCGTCCGCGACAGGTTAAACTCCATTCGCGAATTTGTCGCTTAGAAGCCAATGCGGTTAAGTCGATTTTCCGATATTTCCTCATTTCTCTAAATTTTGATGGAATAAATAATATTCCTTCTAGTTACCAAAGTATTCGCATCCTTCTTTTCATAGCTTTCGAATCTCTCGTACAATCATTTCAGAAGCCAAACCATTAATTTCCTCAGTTCCTCTTTTCCAAGCTGAACCGCATATGCTTCCAAGCGACTCGATTAAACAGTGATCATTAGAATCTTCACGTATTTCCATTTCAAAGTAAGATTCGCAGTTGACCTTTTGCGGACGAAGATTGAAAGTATACAAAACCTTTAGATTCTGCTAAATTAAACACCGAACGCTTAAACCATAGAGAACAAGGAAACTGTGTACAGATTTCTTGCTGTCCCAACAGTTAAATCACTTGTTCGCAACTTGGTATTCCAAGCATGGAAGTTTGATCACTCCAAAATGCCGACATTCGTCCGCAAAAAGTTAAATCAGCATTCCAGTAAAAATCAACGCTAGTATCGAACGAAACTCTCGAAACCTCGTGAACATCGCGATCCATTACTCTCATTCACATTAAACATTGAATTTTCCATCTGCATACGCATTCGTCGCTCAACCAGGAGCAACACGGAGAGCGGCAAAATAACGAGGTAATACTGTACATGTCCGCTTCATCGCGCATTTATCAAGCCACGGCACGGGACGCCCGAGGACCATTTTTTATGGAACGGGAGGTGTATGTTTATTCGTAGAAGCGCGAGCCGGGTGAGCAATCGGGACCGTACGCTGAGCGGCGGCTCGACGCCGAGCAACTTGGGCGGTTCGCTTACAAGAGTGAACAGCGTGACCAGCGTGCTCAAGCGATTGTTCAGCAAGGAGGACAGGCCGGACAGCGGCGTTAGCATCGGTACCAAAACTCCGGGGAGGCTGGCGGGGTCTAGTTCCTCGGCTTCTTTGCAGAACCGAGCGTTAGGTGAGTTCACGTGAAAGAACTTTCTTGAAAGGACTCGGGATTACGACGCTGATTCCTCGCTGATTCGCATTACCTTGAGATATGCTATCAAACTCTATGAAAGAAATGTTTGAAGATATCTCTGTAAATATCTGGAGAACTAAAGCCGATCGGTGGCAATGTGTATATCGAGAGGTTGTTTAGAACGATAAGTTATTTGCGAAGAGAGTAAATATGATCTTAATCTTAATATATCGTTAAGGTGATTATTCTGAACGTCTGGAGATTGAAACCTTTTGACACTGAGTGTTCAAAGTTACTTCATTTTCATTCATTCGTTCGTATGTTCCGAGGAATCAGTGTAAATAACCGAACTCGCGAGGAGCATCATTCATTGCCCAAGCTTCATTCTAACGAGATAGATGACAGCGTAGCAGTCTCTAATGACACGTTAGCTGCAGAACGACAGCTTTTCTTTCTGATTGATGGCTAGCGTCCTATCAGCTGAGATTATTCTCAGCGTAGTCTTATCTCAGTTGCATAATAATCGGTCGCGAGCATGTAATTTCTACAACGTTGCGCAAGTGGAAGCATTGGCAAATAAAAGCCAGAGGCTGCCTCGAAAGTATACCCACGATTAACTCTTGGACGAAACGGTTTGAAACAGCTGGTGGCGGCTCGATGAGGATAGGGGTGATCAAGGAGGAGGCTGACGAGCAGATGACCCTGACGTCGATGAAATCGGACAAGAGGCCACACGTGCAGAGCATATTCTCGCCGGGACCGCCGCCTCCGAGTGCGCCGGTCACCGTGCCCGGCACCGAGCACACCAGGAACGGGGAAATATTCTCGACCAGCGCTCCAGTGACCGGCGTCCTGGTGGGGAGCAACGGGGATGGGACTGGAAGCGCCAACGACAGGCCGTACGTGCCAGGATCAAGGTTAATCATCGACCGAACGCACATTTATCTGTCCACTGCATTTCCATGTTAACCGTTCGCACTCGAGAGGCGACTTTCAGTCGCCGTTTGATCTGTCCCAGGAAAATTGTAACATTGAAAATTCAATATTAACTGAATGCCATGGTCACCGGTGATCACTGACCAAATCGAATTACTATAGTTCACTCGATTAAACGATGATTGTATGAAAATATTTCTATATTGTAAATAATGTTATCTAATGTAGTGACATCTAGATGAATGTGGAATAGTAATGCAAATCGATTAAATGATTTAATATTTTTTCCATTTTGTGTATTTCCCTTTATGGAATCGTGCGGCGTTCAACGTGTTAAATTTTATACAATGAATTTATGCAAGGTACCTCTTTATGTCAATTACGAAAAATATCATTGACATTTCATCAAAAGATTATGAATATTTATCGAGAAAAATATTCTCGAGTGCAAAGGGTTAAATCGTTTCGTAGCGAACGGCTTCGCTCGTGGCAACAAGTTCAGTTTGATCGACCACGTGCCGTGTTATGTGGAGATTGATTCGTTACCGGGATTCCCAGTAATTAGCAAATATCGGTGACATTCGCTTGCATAGCTCGAGTATCTTTTACTAGTAAGCATTGCAACAAATGCGAGATATAAGAGTCTTCTTTCTGGCAAATCGTTAACACTGGAACTACCGGGTGCCTCGGAACGATCGGTTCCCGATTTCTGTTTCTGTAATTGAGTTGCTCAGAAACCACTGCAGAAAACAAACATTAAGAAGATTCATGTTAATACGTTGGTTCATTAATTCGAGCAGAGAAGTATACAAAGTCTTTCAAAGGTCACTAAAACTGACAAAAATCAGAGTGTCAGAAAATCGAGTTCTGAATCTACGCGACTCAGTTATGCAGCAAAATGCTTCTCAAAGTTACCAAACGATAACGCAGAGTCATAAATCATTCGAAATCTCAATTTCCTCGATAAAGTCGAGCCTGCCGGATAGTTCGAGCGTTAACGATGAAATAACTTCGAGTACAATTACGGAAGAGCTTGTACGTCAACGTATTAACATTCCAGATCCGCCGGACAAAAGACAGAGGTCGTTGTAAATCGTTCGCGTTCTAACATTCCGAGCGAGCCTGCGAAGCTTCCTTTTCAAAATGAGATTCGCGTGATTCCAGAGCGGAACGCACGACGCAATCGGCGCGGTCCAGCGTCGCCTATGATCCAGCGACGAGTTACGGGGGCAGCGGATTGGCGGACGACGAGCTGATCAGCACCCGCAGCTCCTCCTGCACCAGCGTCAACTCGGACGACGAGTTCACCAAGCTGAAGACGGAGAGGGAGAAGCAAAGACGGGACAGGGTGGTCAGGAGGCTGGCCAGGAGCACCAGCGGCCACACGAATCTGCTCGGCGCCCAATCGAGGAGCGTCCTGGACACGGAGCACCTGCTGCTGTCGGAGCTCGCGAACACGTCGCGAATGTCCATGGAGGCGAGCGATCGCGACGACAAAGTGGAGACCGATCGGCTTTAGCAACGATTCCGCTGGGCCTTCTTCGAAGTTTAGCCTCCTCGGAACCTCCCGGGGGACTGCGGCGATATTTATTTAGGAAGACTATCGACCGTTCGCGCGGTCGAGCGAAAGTAAACGATTATTAACGCATTTTCACAGTCGCCAACGGTCGAGCCATTTGTTAGTGTACATACGAACTTTTTACTTGAAGTTGTCCGAGGAGATTCGGGAGAAACGCTCGTGAACGGTCGCGAACGACGCGCGGGGAACCAAGTTCGGGTAGAAATCGGCGGTAGTCGCGAAGGTAGTTACGCGAGGAGATTAGGAAACGTTCGGGGAGGAAGTCGAGAGTCGAAGGAAGCTGTGGAAGAGAATCCGATAAACATTCCGTCGATGGACGAGACGGTTCTCGCTGGAGAACGTGGATCGAGAAACGGACTCTCTTGGGTGATCGTTTGCGATCGGAACATTGGTACCAAATTTTTACACGCTCAAGAGTTCTTTGTATATTCTGCTATGTGCAGAGTGTGGTTGGAAACCTTTGGGTCTCCACAGCGGAATCTACTACTCGTTAATTCGAATAAGTCCCACGATTGCACTGCGGATTCTTATGCGTTGACCGAGGAGAGAACGTTGAATTAACTTTCAAGCGGGATTTAGACCGATGATTTTACAGAGTTTCATTGTTTGTTGTGTTACCTTTGAACTTGGAAAGAAATTTAGTTCGTTGTGATACAGTGTTTTTGGAATTCGATTGTTTCTCATAGGAATCCGTGGTCTAATTACGAAGATAATGTCTAATGCGCTGTCCGAAGATCGAGCGCTCGTATCGAAGCAATCTGAAAGTGGACTTGTATATACCGGTATACCTTTCACACGAAACTCTACGTATCTATAATTAGACAATAATCGCGTAAACATTGTCATCGAATATCGCCTTACGGGAGCTCAGTTTTATACGTCGACGGTCACGATTCGCAATTTCAGTCGAAACTGTCGGGGGCAGCTTCGAGAATTGTGAACTCGGTTGACGACCGGTCGAGACTCGCGATCCTCATTTTCTATATTCCATTCACGATCGATATAAAAAATGAGAGAACGTCGAGCGGCAGGGAGTAGCGTGGAATTCTAGATAATTGCCGGCGTGTCGAGCTCTCGCGAAAATCGTATCTCGTCTAGGAAAAGCCGCGAAGCTTACATTGAACCGTGAAAAGTTGTGAAAAGTGCCTGCCTCGAGCCTATCGGTGTCCAACCGTAAACCGGTACTCGACGTTACCTTTATCGCGAAGCAAGCGTGTAACCGTGTTCGTTTCGCGAAAACGCGAGCGGCGTTACGCTTGAAAATAGCGCTTCTCTTCGTTTCGTTTCGTACGGCGACGCGTTTTCGTGCACGCACATTCCATGAATCGTAGATGGACGTCGGTCGGCGACAAGATCGACGGAACGATCGCACATTTGCGGGATAAGGTTAATTTGATAAGTAGACTGCCGAAGTTCAATGCGGATTTACATTTTCCCGGGGAACTTTGACACTGGAACCAACAACGATCGCGTCGAAGCGTCTTCGTGCCGATTTCTTCTGTCGAAATTGCGAGACACCACTCGGAAGAAATCGTCGAACGAACGTTAAGTCGGGTTAATTAATCGATAATTCTAGCGCTAAAGGGACTAACGTTGTATGTGATCGGATCTTCGTCGCGAATCGCTTCTGTAGATCGAAAGTAAAGCGAAGCAGCGTGAATCTTGTCGAGGAAGTTTATAATTTTTTAAAGTCTTTTATACGCTGTACATGCATAATCGTTCCGCGGTCTATCGATAAGTCTCCTGTACTCGCGGAGCGTGCTCGCGATCTTTCGAACGGTTTCGACGATCGCGACATGGCCGTGAATTACGATCGCGAGGAGTTCGGTTTTCACGTTCGAGACGCGATCGCGTGATAATTTCGTACGCCGCGAGGAATCGGCGAGATTCTCGCCGCGAGGATTCCGAAACGGTGCGGCATGTCCATCTTGTACAGTAGAGCGTACTTAATTGCGTAGCGTAATCAGCACTCGTTACTGCCTGCGCATAATTCACGTTTGACGGCTCGTCCGTCGTTTCGGGGTTACATTCCAGAGCGTGGACGGATATTATGGTGCTCATGGTTTAGCGGTTCGTTCAACAGTATTACACAGTAGCGAAACGCTTGTCCGGAATGTCGGAAACACTTTGATTTCGTTTGAATAAATGAGAGTGAATGCAAACAGTGCTGACTTATTTGAAACGAGACACGTCGAGTAGAAACATTTACGGTTGCTCGTGACGAGGAACAGTTAAAGGAATGAAAAGAGATTGTTTTCAGTGATTTTGTTTTATTAAATAATGGTTGGATATTTATGTTCACTGCACATTCTTGCGAGCAACTGTATGTTACATCTGATACTTCCACCCTTCGATCCTGGTGAATTCTATTAATAATTCGTACCGATTTAATCTGAACTTCTTATCGCATGAAACTTTTTCGCCTAGAATTTTTCTTATTACTCTACCGAGATAATCGCTATCATACTAAAATGTTGAACACGACACTTTCATTTATACTATAGGGGCAACAAATTATGCCTATACAGTTATTAAGTATTTTCGAATAAAAGAATTGCTCGTGTAAATAAATATACAAAGTTTCAAACAGATTAATCAAGTAGTTTTCATAAGAAATTCCAAACGTACCCCATTTTCCTCATACCATAAACTCGTATACTGAAAAAGTATACTGAAGAAATTAAAGAAAATGAGACTCATTATATTAACCCTTTGCACTCGAGAGGTGACTCTCACTTGATTTGATACAAAACTATGAAGCATATTTATCTAAATTAAACTTTGTATTAATATTTGAAATATCCATTTAAAATAGCTTTGTAGCTTAATTTATCTACGAATTATCAAATTAGTTTCAAACAATGTCTATCTCGTCGGAAATGTTGAATATTTCCAGTGACAAATTTTCCAGTGCAAAGTGTTATATGTTATCCATAATATCAAGTAATTGTTGCATGCACAGTACCTACGAGTCTTCATTGATCACAACGAAACAGTGGCTCGTCAACCAGTATAATCTTCACATTACAGTTTACCGTATTCAAATCTTCCCGCGAAAAGCGGGTTCGCGTGGCGGCCGCCAGAAGACGTGCGCGCGCAACGAGCATCGAGAGTGGGGCGTCGTTCGTGAAGGTCCGGCTGTAGTCGGCGTAGATCGAGCGCGGTCGTGCGGTCTCGGTTGGCAGGCGTCAACGGTGCATGGAGTGGGGGTAGTCGTCAGTGGGTAGCCGTCGGCGAGAGGTGGCGGTGGTTTTGTACGGTGAAGAAAAGAGGGGTTAAGTGAGCCGTGCCGGGCCGTAGAAGCGAGCTAGCGGTGGCGCGGCCCGTGCTCGTGCCATAGGGCCTCTGCCAGACAGTAGTGCGTTCGTTTACAAGATGGCAGACGGTCCGTCCGCGGAAGACGCGGCCACCGACCTGGGGGACGGTGATTCTCGTTTAACCAGGGACCGACACAAACGTCAGGAGGGTCAGTCCCCGACAACGTCCTCGAGCACGGGTCAGGACACCGCGAGACGCATCCACGAAGACGCTCCGTCGCTCGAGAGTCATCCTCATCATCATCACCATCAGCATCATCCTCATCCTCCTCACCATCGGCAGCAACTTCATCAACCTCATCGCAATCCCCGGCGTAATTGTCATGGGTATCCGGCTCGTCGGCAGCCGAGCAACAATAACAATCCCGCGAATACCAACAACAACAATAACAACAACAACAACAACAACAACAACAACAACAACAACAACAATCAGCATTACAATCGGTGCGAGAGCATCGAGAACGGGGAGAACGGCGACGAGGTGATAGTGGCTGGAAGTGAACGCGTTAGTAAAATCGAGAGTGTTCAAAGTGCTGGTGCCGATACGACGCGCGTTCTATCGTTCGCTTCGTCAGTGCGCGAGGATTACGAGGAAGATGACGAGGAAGACGAGGAGGAGGAGGACGACGACGACGACGATGACGACGACGACGACGAGGACGATGACGACGAGGACGATGACGAGGACGACGAGGAAGACGAAGAGGAGTACGAGGTTAGATCTTCGGACGGGGACGGTGTCTCGAAAAAGTGTCACGGTGTCCGCCGCGTCGACGCGAAGACCGCGGCGGTCAGCCACGAGGGGAGCAAGGGTAACGAGCATACCGGTAACAAGCATAGCAATCATAATAACGCGAAGAAGCAGAACGGTGCCGAGGGTGGCATCGCGTCCCGCGGTGCGGACAATGCCGCCTCCTCTTCGGCCGACGGTCGACGCTCGAGGTCCGTGTTCCTCGAGGCGAGCCGTCGCGGCGCGGCCGACGACGACGACGACGATGACGACGACGACGACTCGGAGGATGTCGCGCGCGGCTCGCCGGAGAAATTGACGCGGCGCGGTGGTTGCGAGAAGGACAACGGGCACCAGATCGTCGAGAGAGGTGTGCGCGTCGACGACGGGGACGCCGCTCGAAAGACGGACGGGATCGCTGGTGATGCTAGTGGTGATGGTGGTGGTAGTAGTAGTAGTGGTAGTAGTGATGGTGCTGCTGCCGCTGCCGCTGTTTCTGCGTCCGCCGCGGCTGGTGTTACGCCGAGCGGGCTGGTGCAGGCGGCCGCCAGGCATCAGCAGGGCAGCCCTTTCAAGGGACAGGTTAGGACTGCCGAGGACACCCTGGTCGGCCCTTGCGGCAAGAAACGGTGCGCCGATCGATACGACAGCTCCGAGAGTTCCGACAGGTGAGTGAGACCGAGAATACATGTATACGGGCGCGAGGCGAGGCGAGGCGGGTGTGTGTGTGCGCGCGTGGTGCACACGGTGTACCGTGGTTCGCGGAACGCCTCGAGGAGGCGGTGGAACAGGAGCCGCAGTCGGAGGAGGATCAGGAGGTGGTACGCCGGAGAAACTAGAGACTCGGTGGCAACCCAGAGCCACGACCCTCGGTTATTAACACTGCAACTAGCGAACAGTCTGCCAGGCTTTTACCACTTTTTCGATGGATACTCCGGAACGTTTCCTTCTACTTTATCTTGCGTGTACTTCATTGATGTTTCTGGTAATTGCTTGGAGCATTTGTCGTCTTGGTGGTAGTTGGCAAGAGGAATTTAGGAATTTGGTACTCGTATCGTGGAACTATCTAGCAATCAGACTTACCATTTTTTTCTATGGAAACTCTGAAAGACTATTGGGACTTTGATTCGCTTGCGTGTACTTCATTGATGTCTTTAGTAATTTCCTAGAACATTTGTTGTCTTGGTAATTGTTAGGAAGAGGAATTTAGGAATCTATCTGGTACTTATATCGTTCACTTCCTATTCAAAATTCTTTTGTTTTCGGCTAGTCTGCGTTGTCCGAATTCTTAGAGAAGTATGGTGGCTGAGGGTTGAAAAGTTGAAGCTACTCGTACAAGTGTTGAACTCAAATTATAGTTTAGAATGTTGTTGACCCTACCGTTTTTAGGTCTACTTAACTATTTACGGTAGATACGAGATAAACAAATCTGACCAGAGATTGGTTGTGATAGCTCCGAATCACGGGTACCATTTTCACCTTTCGAAATCTGTTTGCTTGGTCTATCTTTGCCTACATTGTCGATAATTGATAAATGGGGTCTCTAGAGGTTTATCTGAGACCTGCATTAACTGTTAAGTACTTTAAACATAGGACTTAGAGCATTAATAAAACAATCGATAAAATAGTTTTTGGAAAGACACGTAATACCTGGAACAGTACATTAGGGGATGGAATACAAGAGTAGCCAAAGTAGTACGAACACCTTAACGCGACCTTAGCTTCCTGATTTTTTAATGAATCTGCATAACAAACGAGGCGTCGTACTGAAATTACCGATACAAATTTCAAAAGCGAGCGGTTCATAGTTCAGGAGTTACTTAACCCCTTGGCGTATTATTTACTTTCGTTACTAAGCTCGTAATATTTGACTATCGACAATCTGTAAGAAATACAAAAAAATTTTCCATTCTACTTCAGGTGGAAATTTCATTTGAAGATAGTACATTGATAATAGCAAAAATGTTAATTTGATCCGTGGGTAGTGAACAACATTGATTCTTGTTAAATTAGTTTAGAAATCTTCACGAGTCTCACTCGGCATTGTACGGCAAGGGGTTAACCTTTAAGTTTCGGGTCTCCTTAGTCTTGCACGTTGCAAGCAGATATGGCGGAAGCATTCCGGAAAAGAAGGAACTCCGAAACCATATCGTTAACCTCCCAAACTATCAATCGTCTGTCTCTGAAATTTTAATAGTTCCACTCTTGGTATCTTTATCATTATACGAAAGTTCATTACGAAACCACAGTAACAACTCCGAATCCAATGAAGTCGAGAAATATCAGCGAATGTTTATGTTCGAGCAGTTTCGATCGCAACGGTCCGTACCAAGGTGACAAAACCAGGTCTGAAGTCTCGAACTTAACGACAGCAACTTTCAGTCGCCAGTGAGAAACTCACCGGGTTCAGTAAAATATTAGTAAAAGTTAACTCTTTGCGGACGAAGAATCTTTGAAATATACTGAGCCTTCAGCAGATGAAGCTAAATGATTCAATCGCTTAAACAATTAGACAGAAAAGAAACTATATCTCCTGCTGTTCAAGTAACTAAATCATTTGTTTGCAACTGAATCTTCCAAATCCGAACATTTCGTCTCGAAGTGTCGACGTTCGTCCGCGAAGGGTTAATGCTTTCGCAATATCACACTGAAAATACATGCTCGAAAATGGGTCCACAGAAGTTAAAACAGCGACACGGCCCGTTCAGGACAAAGGATTTGCAGTCGCGAGAAGTAGTAATGAAATATTTACCAAAGACAGGATAGGATTTCTCGTGTAATCATATTATCATAATTCCCGGTATCGTTTTAATACCTAGCAGCGTAATCCGATAAGCGTTTTAACTTCATCTTGCTCGTTGTCTTTAACCACCGTCGTTCCGCACGCGTCCCATTGGTCAAACGTTCTGCCTTTCCCGAGCAAGCTTCCATTTCGCACATGGTCTCCGTAATGTCCCTTTCTCTTCGCGCATTCGCCTCTAAGACCACGTCAAATTTCGACGTCCGTAACCGACGGACCTTCGAACATCGTCAGCTTCGATGCCGTCCGAACGTACCTGCACTCGAGCAACAGGCGCGAGAACTCTCTGGAAGACGTTTACATGTCAGCTGCAAAAACATGCGATAAGAGAATACAGGTTCTCGTTTCAAAACAATTGAATGTTGCACGGCTCCGCGAGTCGTCGCGAGATCGAACGAACCGGTGATTCATCGGAAACGTTTTTCCGTCTTCGTCGAGCACTTTCCCCTGAAAATCGTCGATCGTTATCAATACATACCGTCGCGTAAACATCGCAGACTTTCATTCCAAGACACACCGTCTCTACAATTCCAGAACTAAACCTATTTACAAGTAGAAACAGCGAACCACGAACAGACACCATTCGCTACAAAACAGCAAACACTCTCAAACCCGTCGCATTTGAAAACATTCTCCCCTATTCCCTACAGCGTTCCATACACGATAACTTATCGAACCCAATTTCGCAAATTGCCAAAAAACAGTCAACAAAGAGACGCGACGACACGTTCCCATTGCAAAAACCCCGGAGAAAAAGTTCGTAGCCGTCGTCTCGAACGAAAGGAGACGATTCCACAGAATTTCAGTACGGTTCAAACGTTCCCCGAGCGGGTTCGACGTCGCGGTGTTCGGTGCGCGAAACGAGAGCGCGAGAGAGGCGCATTTCGCTCGAACTCGTCGGGAGGAGCCACCTGTGCGTCCACCGGACGGAAGGAACGCGAGAGTCGCAAGACGAAATTGATTCCTCGGGCCTTTATAGCCGCGATCCGAGACATTCGGCGGCCGGGAGGGAGGGGCGCGGGATTTTTCGAGGCGAGCGAGAGATACACGATGGAGCATCGTAATTAGCGCGAAGGAAGCCGCGTTCGACGGCAGGCCAGGGGTCGTTGTACCGCGGTTACGAGACCGACAACCGTGGCTGCGTTCGATCTGTGTGCGCGGCGTGTTTATAGGTTCGTAGATGCTGCCAACTCGCTCCGTTTCCCTCCGCCCCTCACCCCGCCCCGT